GGAACATGATTGATCCATGGAAGAAGAAACGAAATAAGAAATATGTAGCATTTTTCCTTTGAACATTGCAGTTGATTCATTCCTCTTCTTAAGCATATCATTTTCTCTACCCAGGTCATGCTGACAGATTTTGGACTGGCAAAAGAGATTGATGAATCAAGCAGATCTAATTCAATGTGTGGAACCATGGAATACATGGCTCCGGAGATTATACAGTCCAAGGGCCACAATAAAGATGCTGACTGGTGGAGCGTTGGGGTACTTCTGTATGAGATGCTGACTGGTCAGGTAATCTAAGTACTGGTTGGAACATTTGCTTGCAGTGTAATATTTGGACACTAGATTCATGCAGTGTTTAGTAATGCCAAAGCATGTGACAAGCATAGACAGTTCATCGGACATTCTCTGCAGCCTATTTTATGTGAAATGTATTATAAATTGCATTATTACTAGACTGATTTTTCTTTGTAAATTGGAACACTGTTGACTCTCATTTCTCTCAGCCACCTTTCACACATGCAAATAGAAAGAAGCTTCAGGAGAAGATCATCAGCGAGAAACTGAAACTTCTACCACGTCTGACTGGTGAAGCTCACTCTCTGCTCAAAGGAGTATGTACAAACTATCAATTGAATGCTTGCCCATACTTTCTTAGATAAGTGATTGTAATTCAACTGAATGAAAACTTGCAATTTTTTCCTTTAGTTGCTACAGAAGGACCCATCCAAAAGATTAGGCAGTGGACCAAGAGGAGGGGATGAGATCAAAAGTCACAAGTGGTTCCGCACAATCAACTGGAAGAAACTTGATGCCAGAGAACTACAGCCTAAGTTCAAACCAGATGTAATTGGCAGAGATTGCACAGCCAATTTCGATAAATGTTGGACTACGATGCCACCGGATGACTCACCAGCATCTACTCCGACAACAGGCGAACACTTTCAAGGTTACACTTATGTAGCACCAAATCCTTGGCTCTCCTCTAGTTGATTTAAGTCTTTATCCTGACAAAATTCCGAACTTTTAGTTTGCTATTGTAAGTCATTCTTTTTTAGAGAGAGGATCATGAGAAGTGTATGGATCAGATTGTATCATGATAAAAGCAAATCTTTCTAACTCTTTTTGTGTACTATTGTAAGCTCAATTCTTCTTTATGGACAAGATGTGAAATCAATCAATGACTTTGATTGTGTAGCTCTTTTCTTTACCTGCTCTTCTATGTTTTCTCTCAACCTCGTCTATTCGATGCTCTCTGGAGGTTATATTTTCTTCTATTATTTTGTACTGTTGCAAGAGAATCTAAGAATGTGTTCACACTTTTCACTCATGTGATGATTTAGTCCCTATATTTCAACTTCAAAATTGTATAGAAAATTAATCTAAGTTGTTCAGTATTCAAGAACTCGAAATGATTAATGAGAAATAGCTGTAATAAAATCATTCAAATATGTACACTGGGGAGCTGAAAAGAGAGGATGTTCCAGGGCTTTGTTTTGTTGCATTGTAGAGATTAGAAAATGCTAATGAATTCTGCATTTGGTTCAAAAACTTAATAGAGGAGCAAATTGAGGGTTGTGTTGGTGCACTAGTGATATATGAGTACATATCCTTCAGGGGAATGAATTGTCTTTTGATTTTTCTCCTTATATATTTCCTTTGGTTGTGGATGTCTGTGGCAGGGTATGCCTTATTGTTTTACAGGCTTGCACAAATGTAAACTGATCAAACTTCTGTAATAGACTTTGCAAGAGTTTTTTGTACTTCCATGTGAATTGTTTCCCTTAGAATCTGAGACTGTCCTTAAGTAGGTATTTGAACAGAAAAACTGAAGACATGCCAAAATAAGCATCCATGGATCTAACTTCCTATACTATGGTGTTTATCTTCGAAATGAGCTGTGAACAGTTGAGGGATGTGACATTTTTTCTATTAACAACAGTGTAGAGTTATCCCCAATGGTGAGATATTTAATGGTATCACTCTGGGAAGCGATGAAATATGACATGGTTATTAAAATATGAACCATATAACCATGTGGAGCAATAGTTTTGTCATTATATAAGTTCGACCTGCTCCTTTCCAAAATATGCTGGCTTTATTGTACTTCTAAGAGGCACAGTTTTGAGCTGTGAATAGAATGATTTTCAGTACATATCCATTATCTAGATATTGTGGAAAAAAGTTGCATAAAGATAGGAATCAGTGGAATAGAACTGGTGAGTGGTGACTACTTAATGAAACTTAAATAAATTATAGCTTCATATGGTATATGGAAAGTAGAAAGGCATCTCATTCCAGTTACTTTTAAGTGGATAAGTTAGCTTGTGCTCATTAACAACCACCTAGTTTGTTGGGGGGGGGGGGGGGGAGCGGGGAGGGGAGACTCGTTAATCACGTGGATAGCTTATATGATCATTAGATATTGTTTCTTTAAGGGTTAGCTCTTGTGACAGTGTCCCAAAAGTCTAATATTGCTTATAGATACTAGAAAGGTAAGCAGCATATATTCCTTTTATTCTTCTGAGTTCCATTTGGACATATAGAAAATAGAGAAAACATCTTATTGCATGACTGAGAAAAGGATTTAGCACTAATAAAGTTACTGTTAGGATGGATGAAACTTAAGGGAGATTCTGTCTTTTTTTTTAACAACAAAAATGAGAAATCAGCTGAGCTTATACTCTTTTTAACTTTATATATATCCATCGTCGTTGGCCTGTCATATATGCAATCACCTTCTCTGTTCTTGAAAGTATTTGGCAGTTAAGAAGTTGTAGCATTTGCCATGAAGAACAAAAGCAGAAGCAACGACTCCCTCTGTGAGAAGTCAATGAAGATGGTAACAAATGTCATCCGGCTATCGTCATTCTCTATTGCCAGGATGAGCCTGGGAATCGCAACAGAACCATCACCTGGCGGTAAAATTCCTGCAACATTCATCAAAGGCTCACCAACAGCACAATTCCCTGAGAGCTTAAGGTCACAGAAGCCGGTGAATGTCAAAAAGCCGGTTGCCTACTTGATTGAGCCAACTGAAAATGGTAAATCCTCCTTGTATGCAGTTAATGATAAGTGTGTGGATGGTAGAGCCTCTGATTACATTAGAAGAGTGCATGAGAAGAATCGTCATGATTCAAACGAGGCAATGAGTTTTTCTGCATTCATCATTCCACCTCCACCTCGTTTCGTGTAGTCATATTTTGTACCTCTAACCATGTGTTTATTTCCATCTTCTACTATTTCGCGTAGAATAATTGTCTTCGTCTATCTTGGATAATATGCTTTGTTTCTCTTGAGAACAAGCTTATGATTAGTGTCATAGTGATGAAGAATCTTCTCCTTCTGTGTCCCTTTGGGCTTTGTCTACTGAAGGCTAGAAGCTTACATCTTGATATTGATCTTCTGTCTGTAATATGAGTTTGTTATATGAATCTAGTTGGAATCGGTTATATGAATCATATCCATCTTGAAGCATAACTCATTCTGATATTAAACAAGTTATCTTTTAGGTGAATTGAGGTTTCTCCAAAACTATAAATTTCTATTTTCATGCACTTATTTTGTTATTTACATACTATAAGTTTCTACATGGAATATTCAGACTCCATAAAGTTGGTTTTGCTTATTTATATAGGTCCCACTGTGTTGTGTTTTTAGCTATATTATTCTTGCAATTATGACATGGAGGTCTATAACAGTGTATTAGCAATTGAGACGGGTCGATTCTTGATTAACATCCTTTAGACTCTATCATATTTGATCTTATCCTAGTTTTCCTCTTAACGATCGATATTTTTTAACGTATAACTTAGATACTTGTATTATATGCAATTCACCAAAATCTTATAAATTAATTTGATGTATTCTTTACTTTTATTTAGTCGGTAACTATTCCTTTATATTTAGTAAGAGATTTTTTCATAAATAGAACTGTCTTTATAAAAAGCACATTATCGAAGTAAATAAAAGTTTCCTTAGAGGGAATAAATGCATATATGTGGTCAAGTGGCAAGAGAATATTGTTGAAGAAAAAATGGGAATATCTTTCTTTCACCCTACATATCCTCACCTTATCTGTTGGTCTCAAATAGAGAACCTAATTTTATTGCGTGTAAACGTGACGATCTCTAATTCACCCTTCAATTATGTAATTGCATTTCCACAACAAACCATATTTGTTAAAATAATTGATGATATCCGAGTTAACTTGTACGTGTTAGTGTTTATGTTGAGTAATTATATGCTTCAAGTTTTAAATAAATAAAAAATCAATCACCTTATTTATTTTTTATTTATTTAGTGTGTTTGTAAAATTTGAATTTCCAGATTCATTGGCCACAAATGCACAACGATAGGGACCAATAATACTGAAACCACTACTCAAAATATCTTTTTTTTGTTTGTTTGTTTGTTTATCGTTACCAAAATATTTCAATTTCATTTTTAACTCACTCATAAGCAGCATTGCCGACTCAAAAGTACTGATGTTTCAACTCATTTGACAATAAGTATAAAAAAGGCTTTATCATGTCTGTGTAAAATAGCTCAATTCGATCAATTATTTTAGACAATGTATATCAAATTGATTTTTTAATTACTCTATCATGTCAAATCAAATTTATTATTTTTTTGAAAACGTGTCTAGTACTCCAGTACTCCATTTATTTTTGAAAAAAAACTTTAATTTTGTTAACAATGATCTAATGACCTGTCCCATAAGGATCGATTTCCATGTGTCTTAGGCAAAACAATTTGGCAGCCGTAGAGAATCCAAGTAGAATCCAAAGAAGAAAAGAGGGCAAAAAGAAGCAAGCAACCAATTAGAGGAATGCTACACCGTCCTTACAACCCATACACTAGGATTCAAGAAAATCATAATTGCTGCCTAACACATGCACCCAATCAGGATTTGGATAATGTTATCACATGGTCAGCTCATACAACCACCCACATACATATCTATAGGACCACTCTTCATCAAAGATGGTATCTTCATTGTGTTTTTCCATGGAAAACTACTTTAGTAGTAGGGATTTTGATGTTATAAATAAGAGTAGCATTAAATAGGTACCACAAAGCATGACATATTTCTGGTCTGTACAAATCAGGACCAAAAGTCTAGTCAATTAATCACATATGGATATCTCCTTACATAAACTTTTCCTCAATATATAAGATTAATATAATTATGAACCCAGCTTACTCACTCTTTGTCCTAGTTTTTTCTTCTTCTTTTTTTTCTTTCTCCAGAGATCCTTTGATCTCTCTCATGCCACACGGATGATGCTTTCTCCATTACTGAAACTTGACATCACATTATATGCCGAGTGTCTAGTAGATGATGCTTGTCCCTGATCAAGTGACAATGATAATCTCAGTGACAACGACGATGGCTCGATTGTTGAATTGTGGTTGGCGTTAAGGTCGATCGATTTTGATGGATTAGGCATTGAAAACATAGGAACAGGACCAACTAGCATCGATGAATTCGCATGATCATGTCGAAACAGAGTTGGATTCTCTCTTGACTTATTAACCTGTACTGGAAATATGATAGGAGCAACAGCCGGTGCCACCGAAAATGCATTGGTTTTGGTAGTTTCTACAGGAGGTAATGTTGCTGGTGCTGGAACTGGGATTTCTTGCTTATTTTCCACCTCTTCTATTGGCATTACTGATACCTGCTTGTCATAGAAAGAGAACCTTAGAAATGGAAAATCTGAAAAACAAAATATCCAAGTGGCAGTTTGTATTCATCAGAATTCAATATTTCTATCTTTTCCAGAAGGCAAGTATAAACAAAGAACTTGACACCAATGAAAAAGAATCTATTAGAGAAAAGACACAAAAGAATAACAACAAAAACCCAGCATCAATATCAATTCAAAACAAGAACAATGAAAGAATCACATTACTACTCCTTCTGTTAAAGAGTGATAAGATCGAAGTATTAAAATCAAACCATCTAATTTTCTCTCTCTATACACAATCACTTACCACCTACTCAAAGGAAATTCACCAATAAATGGCAAAATGAGAGAAATATAATTGTAGTAATTCAAAGAAATTGTTAGATTTCACTCGATTAATAATAAGGGTGAGAAACAAGTTTGATAAATGGAAGACATGAATAAAAAATGAATACCGAGTCAGTGGTGATATCAAAGAGGCTAGATCGACGGCGGCGACGGTTGAGGTTGCTTCGCCGGAGGAAGTATTTCTGAGCATGACTTGCAACCTGTGTCGGTGTGCGAGTCTTTACGAAGTTACGAGAGATTCCTCTCCAGTCTCCTTTTCCAACTTTTTGCAATCCTAAAAGGAATAACTTATGCTCTTCCTCTGTCCACGGAACTCCTAATACAAACAAAATCAACCCTACTTCATCAGAAATCAATTTTTATGGATTCAAAGCTAAGCAGGTTAGATCAAAACCATATTTATGGTCCTGAAATCTAGACAGAGGGAAACGAGTTCCCTTCTACAGAATCCAAAAAAAATTCTACAAATTCGGCCATCATTTTTGGAATTAATTTCAAACAATTACATATAAATCACGTGATAAAACTATCAATTTGACTCTGTGCAACACAAATTAGGATAGAAGAGTATAACTCAAAAATTTGTGCATAACAGAGAAAACGATCGATGAATCTAATAGAAACTTCACTCAGAGTAGACATTAATTGACTAAGCACTGACAGAAATAACCGAATCGAATGAAAAATGAAGACGATCATAAAAACACGCCGATTAGCAACAAAAAATAGAAGAAGAGGACAGGAGATCTCACCTCTCTTACGCTCGCGACCACTGTTGGACTGATGTTGAACCGCGTCATCTGCAGAGGCATAACCTTCATCCTGCGCCACTTTAGAGGATTCATTGTTATCACCGCCGCCGTTGTTGTTGTTGTTGTTAGCATTCGGTTGCTCGTACTGTGAAAGATCGTTCAGACTCACGCTCTTCCTCATAGGATCCACTTTTACTCTCACACCAAACAACATGATTTCTCCTCCAAAACCGCCGCCGGTTACCGCCGGCGTCGACGACGACTTATCACTGCAAACGCTCGACATCTTTCTGGAAGATTCCACGAATCAATAAAAAAATCAATTTATACAAAGTGTTGATGACTAAACATACACTTCGTCAATTGAAAACCGTACACACCTATTGAAATTGAAAGGAAGAAAAACCCGAATAAAGCGGAAGAGAGTTTGTATAGAGATGTGGAATTATATAGAATGGGTGAGACATGTGTGATGGTGATAAGGACCACATCATAATATTGTATTACAAAAAATATTATAATAAATATATGATCACATCAAATTTATCTAATATTATGAATTAAATTAATATAATGTAATAAAATTTAGATATAAATTTTGTATTTAAATTAATTAAGGACGGAAAAATGCACAAATATCTCCTCAACCTATGCTCAAAATTTCAGAGACACACTTATATTATACTTAGGTCTTATTATCTTTGAACTTATTTTATAAGTAATTTTATACCCTTTTCAACCTACGTGGCACTAGGGCACTAGTCTGAAAAAAAAAAAGTCAACCAGTATTGAACCCACAAAATAGTGCCACATAGGTTGAAAAATGGTATAAAATTATTTATAAAATAAATTTAAAGGGATAATAGAACATTTATATAATATAAATATGTCTCTAAAATTTCGAACATAGATTGAGGATAGTTGTGCATTATCCCAAAAACAGCCAATTATCCCAAAAACAGCCAATCAAATAAGGTGGTAAATATGAACAAGTACTCTTCCCCACTAATAATTATTGAAAGTTGATAGTAACACGTGGCGACAACTTGACGGTTTATCCGAATCTTCGGTGTGGAGCTGAGTCTGATTTTTATGGGAAGTTTCAACCAACCCATATAGAATAAAGGGGCATACCATTTTTTATGTGGATGGGCCTATCCATATACTCAATTTTCATTCATTTATTTGGATATTCAATATTGATATCTCCACTATATCTAATTTTCTTTTCCACCTAAAAATTATTCTTAAAAAAAAAATATATGTTTATAAACTTTGTCAAATAAGTAACACTCGGTTTATGTAAAATATTAAGTGTAATTAAATATTTGAAATGGACTTAAAGAACAAATACGGCATATGAATATGGGTAACATTTTTAATTTCTTATCAAGCTCTCATAATATAAGTGAATAATATTTTAGTGGTACTTATTTTTTCCCAACTAATTCACGGACTATTTACATTTTTTTTACTAGTGATAAGTATTAAAAGGGCTCTATTTATCAAAATTTAAAATAGATGAGAAGAGATTAAACAATAATAATTTTGTTTCTACTACAAAAATTGAAGTTAGGATATCATAGTTCTCACTTCTCTCGTGATTTGATTGAAGTGTATATTTTCTTTTGTCTCGTATTAGTTAATTATCTTACTAAAAATAGTTATCTCATATTAGTTGATCATCTCACTAAATTAAAAAAGATATCAATTAAATTTTTTTTATACAATCATTGCAATTAATTTTCTTTGAAAGTGTTTATATTTATTTACGAATTTTTCAAAAAAACTTTTTAAGATGTGAATTAGTAAAATTATCTTCTTATTTATGAGTTCTTGATATGTATATAAAAAGAAAATCAAACTTATATAATGAGAAAGAAGTGCGTTTTATTTGTAAAAAAAACTTGGAAATTTAAGTACGGTATTAATACTGAAAGCTAATTAAGTAATTTAATTGCATATTTAGCTAAGATAATTGAAGCTATCAAGTTTGACTTTGTGGGCACTTGTCTTGTCGAACTTTTGTTTTGGGAAAGAGATTACTCTTAATTAACATCATATTTTATTTGTCAGACACGTATTTGTTTGGACGCAAATTGCAATTACCAGCACGAGAAAATAATGAATTTTATGTATAAAATTTTTATTTAAGAATTAAAAAAAAATTAAATTTATAAATCTTTTATTTTTTTTTATCTATACTCTAGTTATATAACGTTTTACACATAGAGCCAATCGCTTTTCTATTTCACTTTTCCTTAGTCCTTAACGTCTTTCGATTAGGATTCATCTTTGGATTAGGTTTAAACTGTTTGAATTTTTTTCATCTATTGAAGATAATTTACGTGTCAATCGTTCTCCCTAATTAGACTTGTTAATCCTTTGCTTTTTTTCCTTCTCTCTTCCATTATGGCCTTCTGTTTTATTTAACAGGACGGAGAATATCATTTTATCGATAACAAAAAAAAATAGCAATGTCAATACAAATGAGAAATATATTTAAGTAATTTTTCATGCATTACAGTCAAAAACTTGAAAGTATACTTTGATATTGACTCTCGAAAAACGAACTATTAGAAGCTAATTTTAGTAAGTTTTTAATTAGTCGGTGAATGGAATAGTTTAAAAATGGAAAAAATTATATAAATTGATATATTTTAAAAAATAATTACTGATTTTAGCAATATTTTTTATTTATTATCATTTATAGCAATACTATGTTAAACCTGTAATATGTATTAAAAAGTGAATTATATATGCAATATATTTGTATTATATAAGAATTATATTTATTTTTTAAAAATATATTATGTTTGTTTGGTAAAAAATTGACACATTGAATTAAAAATGTATTTAAATGTGTGATAAATGAATGATCTATCATTAAAATTTGTACTATATGTGAATAAAAAATTATTCTTTGTAATATGAATTAAATTTATATTATAAATGAATTAAAATTAATCAAATAAAAAAAATATTATTACTATAAATGATAAATATTTATTTATTATAGTATATTTACGTAAGTTACCTTTAAAAATGGTCAAAGAAGCAAGTTAATTAAAGAGGCCCAACTACCATTACCAAGAGATAACATTATTTTTTTTCTGAAGATAAAATTTGACTTTAATTAATAATAATTAGTACTAATTAATTAAACTTGGATCAATACTAACGTGATTTGGTTCCATCATGCACAAAAATCAATGTTGTACTATGAACTTAAAATAATCAAATTATTGACACAAGTGGATGGTTTAATTAAATAAAAAATTAAAGAATCACGTGAAAAAAGGAAATGCTTAGTGATTGATTAACTGACAAACTTGTCTAATTAAACTTATTTAATTAAGTTGATTAGTAGTAGTATTAGTTAGGTACTTAATTGAAACCTTTACAACACAACTATGGATGGTTAGCTGTGTTTCTTCCTCAATCATTTGATTAGAGATAATAATGTTAATTATCTTGCTAGGGCCTCACTAATTAATTACTTATGAATGTTAAATACCTTTCAATCCTTTATGGAGCGAGTTTATCCACCGCACATTTGATCAAATGATATGAATTTTATACTAAATATTTTTCTTTTTCGATAACTTGATATAGAATAAATTCCGAAGATTTTATATTTAGTGAATTAGTGAAACTGACGTGATCATTTATTCTTAAACAGATCTGAAGAAAATGTGTAGACAACCACTTGAAACATCACTATTTAAGATATATCCAATATATTATTATTATTATTATTTAGTCATTTTTTATTTTGATTGATCGAATTAAAGTTGAAAAAATTAGGTATGAAACTATATATTATGCTAAAATCCTTCTTTAAATTAAGTATGGGTTATGTATTGGCATATTATAGGTGAAAAATAAACTATAGTATTAATTATCTTTACTTTGAAAAGATGGGTTATTCTTTACCATGATGAAAAAGATAAGAGTATTTGGGCATTAATCATTAATAGCTACACAACAACTTCCACACCTAATTGAAGATTAAAAAAATACTTAGATTTTTGTTATCCTAACACCAAAACTATTCGATAATTACATATCAAATATTTGTAGATATGATCTTTATGGATTTGACTACAACAATATAACTTCCAATCAAAAAATAATATTTCTTTGAATATGACAAATCAATATAAATTATATATATAATCACGCAAATAGTAGAGTTTTTTTCATATTGATTAATTTTTTTTAAAGGAAAAGGCTAGATATATGATCGAACTTTGAAAAAAAGGTTAATTTATGTTATCGGTTAAACGTTGATTCATACATGTTATTTTTATTTGATAAAATGTTCATTCATGTCATAATTAGTTAATTGAATTTTTTTTTCTTTTAGCGAAGCTTTCTTTATATGTGGTTAATTATGATTCTGCCACGTCATTTTATAAAGAAAAAAATCAAATATTCATCAAGCTTTGCTCAAAGGCTCATATATGTTATCAATTAAAATTTTAATTCATCTACACTATTTGAGTTAATAATTACTGACGTAGACGAACCTTTTCTCTAATGAATCAAAAATAGTATTAATGAGCTGAATTTTTAACGAATTTTTTCTCAATTTTGATGATATTTTTTTGAGCTTTTTTCCCTTTTTAATGGTATGCTAGATATATACAATGCCTTTGTCAAATGCCCCATCTCTTAATTTCGTGTGACGGAATTAAAATATTCATTGATATAGGTATATTTGATGAATAAGATATATATATATTTTTTTAATTATAATTTTAATTAATTGCAGACAATAAATAACTAAACAAAAGTAGATGATGGGCCTCACATCTCATCTGGATAACTAGTATAGAGATAGAGGTGTCTGTCTTGTCTCCATTTTATGCATGGACCCCTACCACTTAATTATTATTTTTTTTATTTTTCATTCGATAAATTTATATTAAAATTTTGATTAAATTTAAATTTAGTTTTTGAGATACAATTTTGATAAGATAATTATTAGGTAAGTATCTTCAAACAGAATATAAATGCTATCCACGCATTAATTAAAGAGAATTATAAAATGTAATTAATACTCACTCCGTCTTATTATACTTCATCCAAATTAATTTGAGGCACTTCTTAAAAAAAATATTTTCTCTTTCATTTTTATTTATTTATATTTAACTTGATGCATTTCTTGTTAAATAATAAATAAAATAATAATTTTGATATATTATTTATGATTGTTATATAAGTCATACTATTGACAAATGATATAGAAATAATTAGTATTTAATTAAGTAAAATGTATGTAAGCTAAGAATTCTTTAAATTGAATTAGTAAAAGTGAAAATAAATATTTATTTTTAATAGAAATAATATGTAAAAAAATGGATGAAGGAAGCATTTACTTAGCGGTGCATTTTTCTTTTATCCAATAAGTAA